TGCTCCCCATCTGCAGCTGTTGGGGTTTCCAGGCAAGCCCAGAGCCCTGGGCAGGGTGATAAACCCCCGCTGTGCCCTCCGGAGCAGCCCGATGGCAAACCTAAGTGTTTGCAGGGAAAAAGCAGCACATCAGTTATTTGATGCATTTTGGTTTGGGGTTGGTTTTTTTTTTTTTTGACAACTCTGCAGCTGGAGAGGAGCGGGAGGAGCAGGGAATGCTGGCTGTTGCTGCCCCAAGCCTCCCTGCCAACAGGGAAAGGAGCTCCGGTGCTGCCCCAGGGAGAGTCCGCAGCAGCCCCCACGTCTGCCACCAAAAGGAAGGTGGGAATCAGGGATCAGGGAGATGGATATTGTCAAGTGGCACAGGACCCTTGAGCACCAAGTCTCTGCTCCATCACCCTCCTGAGAGTCCGGGCCAGCTGGGCAGCACCCTGCCAGCGTTGTCTCCCATTAATCAGCCTGGGGACCGCAGGCTGGAAAACAACACTTGCAGCAAAGCACCGGCATTTGCAGCGAAATCGGTGGGTTAGCAACAGGAAAGTAATGAGGAAGGAAGCATCACCAGCAGGGTTTAATCGCCACGGCTGTGCCGGCTCCTGTGGCCAGTGCCTCCTTCTGCATCACCTGCCAATGAGGAGCAGCACCCATGGGTGCCCTGGCACCCATCCTGGCCAGGGGACACTAGAGGGGACCAGAGAGGTGGGTGCTGAAACTGAACTTAAGCGAAAACACCACTTGCCAAGGCTGTAAAGCCGAAAGGCTGAAGAAGCCGGGTGGCTCTGGGGATGGGGCAGAGAGCGTGGGGCCACACAGGATGGTGCCACCGGCTCCTGGGCAGCAGCAAGGCAGAGGCACCAGGAGGACCAAGGTGCCAAAACATCACTTATTTATTACAGAGAACTTTTTTTCCTGTTTTGTTTTGGTTTGGGGTTTTTTTTTTCCGAGAGGTGAGCGCAATTCATCCTGACAGAGGTTCGCAGCACATTTTTGCCTGGCGGCTGCTTACAGAGACATGCCAACAAGCAAGCCGGTGTGGGAGAAAGGCACTCTGTGCCTGTGCCACGAGGGGCTGGTGGGCACCGAAATGGGTTTGGCACATCGCCCCCAGCCCCGTGCCACCTCGGGGATGGCCGCTGCACGTGGACGTGGCCAGTCACGGGGCCCAAGATGTCTGGGCTTCCCCATGGGTGCTCAGTGCCGGCCCTGCGCTCCGAGGATGCTCTCCTGGCATGGAGACAGCATCAACCCGCTCCGAGCGCTCATGGGGACGGGTGTCAAATCAATCCCTGCAGCAGGGATGCCAAGTTAAAAAAAAAAAACAAACAACAAAAAAACAGAGGAAAGCAGCCAGCCATCTGCCAAACCAGCAATTTTCAGCTGGATTTCCAGAAACACTTCAGCTTTTAAAACCAAGAGAGGAGAGAAAATAAAAACCCCTCCTCTTCCACAAGCATAGAAAGCATTCATGAGATGAGGTGCAAAATTCCTCTTTGACTTCAAAGGCTGGTTACCCCCAAATCCTGGCACAACCCACTGGAAAGCTGGCGGGCAGCACGCCTCAGCGCCGCTGTGCTGCCAGATGACGGCATCCCGCCGGCCCCGGGTGCGGGCTGGCGTGCCGGGGGAGCCCCAGGGTGTCAGAGGGATGCTGAAAACATGGTACTTGCCCCTTTGGAAGCAGGGAGGAGGAGGAGGGATGAGGGGGAAGAGAGGGAGAATGAAGTTTATGCTGCAGCAAAGGGGATCTGCGTGGTTGGCGACAGCGTCCCGCTTCTGCCGGGGTGGGCGATCTCCCTCTGCTCGGCGCGCAGAGGTGCCAAGACCCGGTAGCGCCGTCCCCACGGCTGGCGTCGGCAGGATGCGGCCGAGCACCCAGTGAGGCTGGGCGAGATCCTCGGTCCAGCCTCGGCTTCGCCAGGAAAGTTCAGAGCAAACACCTCCCTCCTCAAACACTGGCTGAAAGGCATTTTTAGGGTTATTTCCTGTGCTGTTACTGAAACTTTCTGCAAGCAAAGACAGGGGCCAGGCTGGAGCAGCCGCAGCCCTGAGCACCCTGTCCAGCAGCACCCACCCTCAGCACCCAGCTGGAAAACGCAGCCCCAGCCAACCTACCTCACCAGGCGTCCATCCCTGCCTGCTCCAGCCCAGCCCAGCCAGCCTCCCCGGCACGGAGCAGCAGCCGGCCGCTCTCCTGCCAGCAGGCTCGGGGGGCCCCAGCTCCTCGGCTCCGACCCCGGGTGACGGCCCCAAGCCGGGGTGCGGGTCGGACATCTCCCTTCTTGCCATCCCCGCTGGGGACCCCCCAGCTGGGGCAGTGTGGGGCAGGGGCACCCACCCACAGGCATGCTCAGGAATCCCGGGACAGCCGTAGGGCACGCCAGCATCCCCAGCCCCGGCACCTGCCCCCTTCAGCCACCCCAGTCCCAGGGAAGCTCCCCACCTCGCCGCAGGTCCCAGGGGAAGCAGCGCAGCCCCATCCCATAGAGTAGATGCAGGCATTAGGTTTTTACAAAGCAAACAAGACTTTCAAAAGTGTTTTCTCAAGCTGAACCATGTCTCCGCAGCCTTGGCAAAGCCAGGATGAGATGTTTAGCTGTTTGGAAGGGCTTAGGCTGGGTCTTGTGGCACGTTTTCATCGGTTGCGGTAATCAGCAGGCTTTTTGCATGCACTATGTATTAACTTAATGTATGTTACGATCTACTCTGTAATGGAAAAATACCGTGGCTGTTGTAACCAGTAACACTTTCAAAAGCACTTGACTCCCAAGTCATCCAGGTGCTTTTGACAATGTTACCCTGGGTTGCTATAGGAACCCTAATAGTTTTCCCATCCGACTTCTCCATTAACACTGGGATTTATACTTAATTTGTTTTCTTTTTCCTCAGCGAGCAGAGGCAAGGAGCAAGCACATGTGCAGGCGGAGGCGATGCTCCTCGGTGGCTGTCTCCTAGCCATGCCAAAACCAGCACTGGGGAGCAGAGCTAGTTCTGCCGAGATGCTGCCAGAGCAGTGGTTGCAAGCAGAGCCTGACCTGCTGCAGGCACAGCCCCACCGTGCTGCCAGGAACCATCCAGGAGACAGCTGATGCCCAAGGTAGCTTTATTACGGGTCTCTCCCACGTCCCCAGGCTGGCGCGACAGTCTGTCTCCCCCTTGCCCTCCTGCAGGCGGAGGGGCCGAGGGGCTCACGGGCAGAGCATCCCACGCAGCTCCTGGGGAGAGGTGATGGGCAGGGAACAGGCGAAGTTGCTGCAGAGATAGGCGGTGGCTTTCCCGTCCTTCCTCTCCAGGGATGCAAGGAAAGGCAACTGGCGGTAGAGGAACCCAGTGCTGTCTCCATCTGCTAGCATCAGCACCTGCCGGAGAAGGAGCTGGGAGAGCTGGAGAGCAGAGCCAGTGCCAGCCAGCTGGTCCTTCCCTCCCCACAGACATGCCAAGCGCTGGCAGCGTCCCCCCACGCACTCGCCCGAAGAGGGAAGGGGACCGGGAGCCGAGGGGACCCATGCCAGCCCTCTGCCAGGGTCCCACGGTGGCCACATCCCCGCGAGCGCCTGTGTTGGAAGGAGCGTGTGGTCCACGCCATCCCCGGCAGCTTTGTCTCCCTTTTCTGCTCCAGACACCCGACAACTGGGGATGAAGCACAGGGACCTGCACACAACGGCCTGGAGTGGGGCTGCCCCAGCCAGCCGGCTCCCTGGGGACACCCACCCAGCCCAGGGGCAGCCCCAACCCCAGCACCAGCTGCAGCATCACCCCGTCCCACCCGGCAGCCCAACTCCTCCTGCCCTCCAGATGCTTCCCAAAAAAACTCAGACACCAGCAAGCAGTGGGTCAGGGGCTCTCCCGGCTGACACGGCAGCACCAGCCAGGGGTGATGACAGGGCTGCTGTGATAATTAGCTTTTCTGAAAGGGAAAATGTTTGTTAAAGCCTCAGGGCTTGCAGGCTAATCAGGGGAAAGGCCAGGAGCTGGCAGGGAGCCTGGTGCCGACATGGATGCAAAGGGTGAGCAAAACACCGGCCTTTCCCAAGGTCCAAGGCACGAAGGCAGCATCCCACAGCTGGAACACATGGTTCTCCCTTGCCCTTTCTGGCTCCGGCCCCGGCCCTGCGCGTGTGCCCACCGCGGTGCCCACCAAGCACTGACACGCTCACCACAGGTTCACGCCGCTCATGCCGCCGCGGGATGCCAACACCGAACGCTACTACCCCCGGCACGCACATCTTGCCACCGTGGCATCGCTTGCCTGGCACGCAGCATCCTCTACCACCGGCCCCGGGGCCAGGAGCAAACCCAGCACCAAGACCCAGCTGAGACGCCTCACCCGTGCCTGGCAGGGGCTGCCCTCACCCCCTGCGTCCCCAGGAGGTCACCACGTCCCCAAGCCCTTGCCCTCGATAACGGCTGCTGCAGTGCCGTCCTGTCCCCCATCACCCCACATCTCCCGCTCGGCCCCTGCCTTGACCCAGCTCTGACTCAGCCCGACTCCCTGCCTGCCTCCTGCTCCCCCCCCCAACCTCCTCCCCCCCTCGCCTTTGTCTGGAATTAATTCCAGGAGTGATTAATTACCAATTCATGTCCAATCTGAAATTCATTATTCATTTTTCTCACAAGCTCCCTAAGGTCCTCTTGCAGGGCCAGGATGAAGGCAAGCAGCAGGCTTAGCGCTCTGCAGCTGAGGAGATAATGGGATCCTTCATAATTACCCTAAAGACCATTAACAGGGCAGGAATCTATACCAGGAGCCAGGATCCAGCCCCAGAGCAGGGATCCAACCCTTTTTGCTCCCAGCACCGGGACCCCTGGGGAGCACCTCCGGCATCGCCCCCGGAGCACTCACATCCCTGCGGCAGGTGCCTGTGGCAAAGGGCTCCTCCGGGTCCGGGGTCCATTTAAACCTGCGACCTCAATGCCGTCTTATCATCGGCATCTCGTTACAGCAAGGATTTCAATGTGAAGTTTGTAAGGAATTAATTACTGGAACGACCTAATTAATTGTGTTCCTGCAGATGAACCAAGCCCCCAGCGCCCTGCCGGCACTGAGGGAGCAGGGGCGGCAGGGGACACAGCAGTGACTTTTCCCCAAATCCTTGGCAAAGGCGATTCCCAAAGCTGTCGTGTCCCCGGAGCGGGTGACCCAGAGCTGCTCTGTCTCAGGCAGCTTTTCGGGGTGGGGAAGGAGAGCTGGGGTGCAGCTGGAGGGAGCTGAAGGCGGGTTGGGAAAAGGAGGACCCGCTTCTCTGTGCGATGCAGCATGGGAAGAGGGATGGCTGTCGGGAAGCAGCAGGCTGCTCCCAAAGGCAGCGTGACTCTCTGAGCAGCGGGATTCTCCTCCCTTCTCTCCATCCCCTCTGCAAGGTGAGGAGCCATCGCTACTGCCAGAGATCAGGTTGGTCATGAAGAATGGCACCGGGGAAGCCCTGGCAGGACGGCTCAGGGGAAGTGTGGCTCTACCCCCTTCCCTGTCGCCCTTCATTCCACCCAGATGATGCTGAAGAGGCCCAACCGCTCACCCCTGGCCTCGGTGACAGCAGGGAAAAGCAGCCATCACCGCGATGGGACACCCCGTCTGCTGGAGCCGGGCTCAGCAGCGCAGGCAGCTCTCGTGGCAGGAACGAGCAGGAGGGAGGTGGGCTGAGGAAGGTCGAGGAAGAGCTCAGCTCCTACCGCTCCTGCACACTCATGCTTGGGGAAGCACATACCTACAGGGCTGTGCTCCTCTGGGAAGAGAGCCTTCCCCTCCTGCCACGTTCTTTCTTCCAGGAAACAAACCCAAGCTGCCAAAAGGGACAACTGACAACTCCTGATCCATCCCACTATCGCAACATGAGGAACACGCAAGAGCCCAGCAAGGGGCTAGCAGGGGCTCGACCTCTGCCCTGCCTGCTGCCAGCCTCCAGCTGCAGCCCCCCCGCATGCCCCTCTGAGCGCAGCCCCCCCGCGGCTTCACTCCCTCATAGCAATATCCATCCAGAGCGCCCAGCCCTCCTCTTCCTCCCTATCCCGAGGAAGGCAATGGCTTGGGGCAGACAGACCTGCCCCTGGGGAGCGAGCGTCCCCAACAGCCAGGCTTGTTACCAGCTTAGCAGGAGGGAACCAAATCACATGAGAGGAGAGGCAATGGCTGCGCTATTTGCTCTGCTCAGGACCCCAAAGCTGCCGGCTGCATCCCCTGCCAGAGTCCACGTGGACTCAGGGGACCGACGGCTGAACCAGTTGCAGGGAGAGGGAGTGGGTTATTAGCAGCAGCACTGGGTTCCCCGCTGCCACCATGGCGCTTCCCATCCCTGCAAACTGGGTCACCCGCTGTAATCCTTCTAAGGGAGAGAGGAAGAGCGTGGGAGCAGAGGCCTCGCCCGTGGCGCGGGGATAGGCACGGCTGAGGGCATTGCTGGACAGGAGATGCCAGAGGGAGGACGGAGAGCTGCGTCCCCCACCCACGTGCCTGGGCAAAAGCGGTGACTGTCCTCCAACACCGGCATTGAACACTGCGGGGCACGTAAGCAGAGGGTCAGGGATGAAAGCCTCCGTGGGCTGAGCTAACGTGAGGACGGAGCAGGGGACACCGTGCCGATGGCTCAGCGCTCCCCGGTTCACCCCAGCTGGGGCTACAGACGGAAACTGATGCTTTGGCCTCAGTGCCAGCTCCCCACGTGTTGCGGCTCAACGTGCCAGTCCCTGGCACCAGGACCCCGACAGGCAGGGATGAATCCGGTCCAGAGGCTGAAACGCTGAGCCTCCTCGCCTACAGCCCAGCCCTGCTTCCCTCGGCTCGACAGCTTTGCCAAGGCAAGAGCCATCCGTCCCCAGGGCAGGGACGCTGCCCACCAAATGTGATGGGCGCCGGCTGCCGCACTGCCCTTCCCTGCCAGCTCTGCGGGCGGCAAACAGCTCCGTCCCGGAGGCAGCACGGCCCCTCAGTGGGATGCACCGGGTGACGCATCTCTGAGCAGGGATGCAGACGAGCAGAGCAAGGTGGTAACCCCAGTGCACGGCGACAGCACAACTGGGGGCAAAGCTTTTGGGAAAAGCCAGACCCTCCCAGCCAGGGGTACCCGCAGCCAGAGCAAGGTACTGCCTTGCTGTTTCCCAAGGATGCGAGGGTGGCTTCAGGCAGAAGGTGACCCAGACACTGGCTGGATCTGCACCAGGCATGACACATCCACACCGGGCATGACACATCCGCACCGGAACGAAAGGTTTTCCCTTGGGAGAGCAGCGCTGGGGATGCTGGGCTCAGGCTGAGGGCAGTGTAAACAGCCGGCAGCGACAGCAGCCGCTGCTGCAGCCGCTCCTTGGGCTGGACTGCCAGCGCTCTGTGCCAGGGAGAGAGGGGTGCAGGGGCTCAGCCGTGGCCCTGCGGGCTGTGCTTACGAATATGGTAAGGATAGGATGCTTCCCAGAAGGGAGGCAGGACAGAGGAGGAGGAAGACGGATGCTACAGCCACACTGGGAGAAAGGATGAAGGCACTGGCAATGCAGGCGGCAGCAGGGAGCGTGCCGGCGGCTGGCGGGGAGCGGCTGCGCAGGGGGCTGGGGAGGGCTGGCACCTCTACCTTGTTTGGGCTGAAGACGGAGTGGACGCAGCGCAGCATCTCTTTGGTGTCTTCTCCCTGGGGGTCCCCACAGATAACCACCTGTCCGGGGAGAGCGCGGGTGGCAGAAGAGAGAAAGCAGAGAGCTGTGACTGCACCCACACCACCGCCAAGCCCCCTCCCTGCGGCAGGTTCCGTAAGGGGCACATGAGCCCCTGACCGTACCTGTTTGAAGGTGTGATGGAACACAGCGGTGGCCCGGGCCATCTCTGGCAGGGCTATTGGGATCTTCTGCAGCCTCTCTGAGAAGGCAGCCAAGATCTGCCCGGCTTTTTCCACCCACTCTGTATGGCCGGAGTAACAAGCTGCTCGGAGCAGGTTGGTGACAGTGACAGAGTTGGGAGTGGGCTCTGCTCCGTCTTGGTCTGCAGGGGAAAACAGCTCCTCCATCAGCCCAATGCCTCACCACCCCACGGCTTGTTCCTTCAGCCAGGTGTAGCCCCTGCCCTCCCTAAGCTGCCCCACACCATAACCCATGGAGAGCAGGGCCATGTCCCTGAGCTCACCATCCTTCAGGCGCAGGAGCAGAGAAGGATCGCCAGCCTCGCTGGAGAAATACGCAAAGCCTTTGGGGTCCCAGAAGAGCTTGTCTTGCATGTGCTGGAGCTGCAGGGCCCACTCCAGCCAGCCCTGCTCCAACGAGGCTTCATACAGGTCAAAGAGAGCCTGGATGACAAAGACGTAATCCTCCAGGAAGCCCTGGATGGGCACGGCGCTGCAGTGGCAGACAGGGAAGGAGCATCAGGGTCTCTACACTGGCCAGGTGGGAAATGTTCTCCAACCCAGCAAAGCCCTACCTACTGGTCTCTGCTACCCGAGGAGATGCCACCTCAGAGCTCAGTCCAAGATTAAGCGGTGGCTGTGCCAAGTCATCACATGGCTCAGCCCCGGGTTTCTGTACAGCAGGGGAGGGCAGGGGAAGGCTCCTGCCAGCTTGGAAGATGAGGATCGGGAAAGGATTTGACCTTAATTCCTCCTCACTGGGTGGGGGGAACTAATCCATCCCAAACTGCACCGGAGGCAGTTCTGTGCAAGGCAAACAGCCTCCCTCCCTCCAAGTTCAGTCCTGCTTGGAAGAGAGGGGACCACCTGGGGCCTGGGCAACACCTGGGGGGTGGCCAGTCGGTCTGTAGACACTCTCTGTACCACTGCTCACCTCTGCTCCACCGTGTTGTCTTTGCCCCGGTAGCAGCTCCGCAGCAACCTCCCACTGGCAGGGTCAAAAAGGTGTCTCTGCAGGAAGGCAGCTGCCTGCGTAGCCCGGCTTACGTACTCCTGCTTGGCCAGGGCTGCCCCAGCCTGGGCAAAGCCCGAGATCATCAGCCCTGCATAGGCACAGACATGGGGACAGGCTCGGGGGGGGCACAAGGAACCAGAGAGGGTGTCACTGTCTTTCCTTTAAAGGATGCTCAGCAGGAAGCTCGTCTTCCCTGAGATTCTAGGCAGGTCAAGGCTCAGCCACCAGCTCTCTCACTCAGTTCAAGCCGCTAAAAAAGTCACTTACTGTCACCGAAGAGAGGGACAGAGCGCTGCAAGGCCAGCAAGAGCTAAGCCTTTGTTTGCAGGAAGAAACAGGGCTTAAGAGAGTCTTCCTGTTTGCAGGACGAGGTGTAACTCCAGCTCACGCCAGCTCCAGACCCAACTACCCAGGCATTTACTGCTGGGAACAGTGTCTGGGGTACTGTAGTTATTACCTGCTGCAGGACACCTGGACAGACGGACACAGAGCTGTGGTCTCCCACTAATGCAGCAGTGGAGGTGGGCTCTGCACCCCACCTGGGTCCTGAATCCCCAACCTAGTCCCCTTCCCCAGAGCCCAACTGGGGGAGCCAGGCTGAGCCAGGGGAAGGGTTTTGCTGCTCTCTACTGGCAACAGGGAAGGAAAATAAAGCCAGAGTAATATCCTGATGCCCAGCAGCCCCACGGCTTGCAGGTTTGGGGCTGCTTCCCCCAGGTGCTCCCACAGCCCCGGACCCCAGCCCACCCACAACCTCCGTGGGGGGCTCTCCAGTCCCAGCAGGACTCGTTGCTACAAGCCCCCCAAAAGCATGCTGGCCCCAGGCAGCCGCGGAGGGGTCCAGCCAAGGCACACACCCCCAGAGCTGAGCCACCTCTCACCATTCCATGCCGCCAGCATCTTGGTGTCCAAGTGTGGCCGTGGCCGCTGTGCCCGGGCTGTGGACAGCCTCCGCCGGCCCTCCTGCAGGAGGGCACCCAGCCGCCCCGGCTCCAGCCCAAACCGGGACGCCGTCAGCTCCGGGGAGCATCGAACAATAAGGACGTTCTTGCCCTTCAGCTCCTGATGGGGGTCCTGAAAGGAATGCCCCGTTCTACGAACATCACTGGGCTGAGGAGGGGTTGGACCCCACGTGCTCTGGGGCTGCTCTGGCATCCCCCCATGCCCAAGGGTGCGGGTCCCCCACCAGTCGTCCTGGTACCAGGCAGGTCTTTGTTCTCCCTCACCTTCATGGGGCTCACGTTGCCAGTCTCCTTCACTCCGTAGTGGTGCATGAAGACATCTCCCAGGGTCATCCCCTCTGTGGCCCCTTCGACAGGGTCAGGAAGGAGAGCCCGAATTTCCTCAGCTGTCCACACACAGAAAGCTCCTTCTCGCTTCTTTTCGGATGCAGTGGTCGGGTAGGAATCAGCATCCTCCGCACTGTAGAAACCTCCAGCCTGGGAAAAGAGCAAGAGAGACCCTCCTGTTACTGGGACAGCACCTTCAGCCAACTCCCCATCACTGCTGGGCTGGCAATCTGGCCAGCGAGCCACAGCAGTGCCCCAGACTGAGCTCAGCTGGGAAGGGAGGGAGGGAAAAGCAGCCCCGAACCATGTCCCAGGGCAGGGTAAGTGGCTCCCTTTGGCCTAGCCCAGGGAACAACCTACCGGGTCACTCAGGTCCCGCGAGACATAGAGCAGAATGTCTTGGGCGACACTGGCAAAGAATTCATCGCCAGAGATCTGCAGGAGGCATGGGGTGGATGTCAATGTTACAAGGGGCAGCGGGGAGGCAGGAGACACAGCAAGATATGATCAGAGATTCAGATTTAAAGAGCTGGCAAAGGAGGGGAAACACATTTGAAAGTCCAGGGACTTTAAACGTGGGATGGATTCAGAGTAAGATCTCTGACAGAAATCTACAGGCACTGGAGAGCAACCCTGGAGTTATACCAACATCACAGGCAGCAGCATGTGTTTGCTGACTTGCAAAGACCAGCCAGAAGGCTGTTCCCTCCCCCGTTACGCTCAAAACCCTGGGGCTCCACTGTCACAGATTTGTGCAGCGTTTCTGGATGAACACCAGGAGATGAAGAGGAGTATGGGACCACTCCACGCCCATGGAATGGGCAACATCTTGGGGAACAGGCTTCGAAGCTGCTCCCCAAACCAAGCCAGCCCTCCCCAGCCAGCACTCAGCATGCTGAGGGAGCCCCCCCCGCAGAGGGAAGCCACGGCCGTACCTGAAACGCTCTGCTATATGTGGCTGCCAGCTGCCCTTGGTCATACAGCATTTTCTCAAAGTGAGGGACGTGCCAGTGCTGGTCGGTGGAGTAGCGGTGAAAGCCCTGCAAAAACCAAGTGGACACGTCTCCACCCCACGCCTCCTGGATGTGCCAGGGGTTTACCCCCGAGGCCTTCCTCCTACCTGACCGATGTGGTCATGGATGCCCCCATGGGCCATCATCTTGAGGGTATGCAGAGCCATCTGCAGTGCCCGGGCACCTTCTGGAGTTGTTCGGTGCAGGGCCCAGTACGTGAAGAGGAAATTCAAGTTCACTGAAATACAGGGAGAAAGTGGGAGGCTGTGGGGTGGGCTCTGCCCCCTGGCGCTGCCTGCCCCACGGCAGGGCTCAGCAGCAGAGGCCAGACTGACCTGGGGTGGGGAACTTGGGGGATTCAGAAAAGCCACCGTAGTCCTCATCGTAAGAGTTGGAGAGCTGCTTGAAACAGGTGGCCATCACCTCTTTGGATGGTGGGGGTGACTCCTGGCCCTGCACATGGATCTCGGACCTGTATAGCAATGCTTCCAGGATCTTCTGGCTGTTCTCCAACAGGGCCTCTTTGTTCTCCTTCCACTAAGATGCAGAGTGAGAAAGTCAGTTCTTCCATTTTTTTTCTCTCTTTCTGCTTCCTGCATTGTACCAGTCCAAACTGCACCTTCAGTTCTCGGTCCTCCTCCCCAGATCAGTTCCAATCCATCTCTAACCCAGCCAAAGCTCTGACATGTCCTCTGGGCTACCGTTTCTCATGACTGTATCTCTTAACTCAGTCACTCATCAATCCCAGACCAATTTCCCTGCCGCCCCGTTGGTTGAGCACTGTCTGCTACGCCACTCCTGCTCCATACCTGCTCTGCGATTCGGAGCAGCACAGTCCGAAAGCCAACACGATGAACTCCATCTTCAGGTGGGAAGTACGTCCCCCCTACAAAGGGCTTGAGGTCTGGAGTCAGCCAGACACTCATCGGCCAGCCACCTCCACCACTGGTTGCCTGAAAGACAAATCACGGGTGCACCAAGGTCATGCAAGTGGCACCCTCTGCTCTGTAACCCTCTGGCACATCCCAGTGCCTCACTTGAGGACAGACATGTGCTTCCCTCCACCCTTGTGATCATGCATGGCCCCATTCAGACCAGCTCACATACTGGTTCTTCTTGCCTGAGGAACACAACCATGAATCTCATCTTGAAAGAGCCGGTCAAAGCCTCCCAAGCTCTGCCTGTGCCTCCCTTACCTGCACGAAGGTCATGTATACTTTGTCCACATCTGGCCGTTCCTCACGATCCACTTTGATGCATACGAAGTTCTTGTTCATAATCTCCCCGATCTCCTTGTTCTTGAAGGACTCCTCCTCCATCACGTGGCACCAGTGGCAGGTGGAGTAGCCAACTGAAAACAAGCTCAGGCGAGTGAGGAAAGGCCCTTTGCAAGGAGCAGGACACACGTTATGGGGAGATCGCTCAGCGGTGGGGAACCCTGATACGGGCAATAGCTGCCCACCCCTCCCAGAGAAGAGATGGAGGAGAAAGTCCTCCATGCTTGCAGGGCCTCCGGGGTTCTCCAGCTCTTGCTCCTAAAATCTGGCCAAGGCCTCTGGTCCTTGATGCAGCCCACCTTCAGAGAGAGCTACTAAAGCATGTGGCCCTCTCTTGCTAGCAGAGAATTAGTGCTCCGTGTCCTTACCTACACAGCTACTCACACACCCGCAGCCCAGCTTATCTGGTCATCTACTGAACAACACATGGGAACATGAAATATGTCTTGTTTCTGGTTACCTGACAGGAATATCAGCTTGTTTTCTTTCTTTGCTTTATCAAAGGCTTCCTGACCCCAAGGGTACCTGTGGAGGGAAGACAAGAAAGGAGCTTCAGGGGTCACCGCTGATGGGACCCGGACTCCTCTAAAGCTGCCTGAAAATCTGCTGCCTGGTGGAGAGGGGTCAGGACAGCCGGGGGCACGGCTGGCTCAGGACCACGGACCCCAAGTCCGCAGGGAGCCGCAGAGGCCAGGCTGCTTCACCTACCACCGCAGCGAGTCCCTCAGCCCCACAGACGCAAAGGAGAGGAGGAGGGAGAAAGGCACCAGTCGCTCTTACCAGTCCACGGGGTTGTGAGCGTGCTGCAGGAGGTAGGGGGACTTCTCGTTAATCAGGCGGTTGGTGTGACGAGGGACGCTGGGGGGGCTGGTTGTCCCCCCCGTGGCCATGGTCACGCTCCCAGTTAGAAACGCGCACCTGCGACACCGAATAGGCTCATCGTTTCCTCGCTCGCCACAGCAAAGCACAGCCCCTGGAGAGAGCCGCGACACCCCAGACCAGCACCACCATCACCCCGGCTCCTGCGGGTGCCCAGCGTAGCCCTGGGACGGGGTGCCGCTGCCCGCTCCCCGCTTTTTGCTCCTTGTGCCAGGGAAAACCACTTTTAGCCCCCGGGCTGGGGCTTGGTCCACCTCTGTCCCCCCCCAGGACCCTACAAAGCCCTCCCCGCTTGCTGGAGGCTCAGGTGAGGCTGTTCTCCTCCGACTGCCACCCCCGGGCACCCTCCCCTCCAGCCCCAAGCCCACCACCAGCATCCTTCAGGGGCACAGTCACCCGATAGCCGTGGGTAAGGGGAGCAACATCTGCAGGATTGGACCCGTGTGTCATCAGGGAGGAAAATCCTCTCCCGTGGGTGCACGGGTAGGTGCGGGGTCAGGGCACGGGCTTCTTGTGGCGAGGGGAACCGAGGGACGAGAGGGGACCAGAGAGACCCTCCTGGGTGGGGATGCAGGGCTGGGGTGCGGGGGGTGCAAGAGGGGGTGCGAGAGGGGTGCAGGGAGGGGGTACAGGGAGGATAATATGTCTTGCGGGGGGGTTAGGGGCGCAGGGAGGATTTGGGGGAGCGCAGGGGGGATCTGGGGGAGCGCAGGGGGATGCAGGGAGGACGCTGGGGAATACAGGAGGGGTGTAAGGGTGCAGAAAGGATTTAGGGGGGATTCGGGAGGGTGCAGGGGGGGATTTAGGGAAGACGCGGGAGGAGTCCAGGGCGTTGCAAGGATGCAAGGGGAATTTAGGGGGATGTGGGAGGTGCCGGGAGGACGCGGGGGATATAGAGGGGGGGAGCGCAGGG